CGCGCTCGGCTCCGAGGGCAGAGCGCCTCGATTTACCTCTAGCTGAGCCGCTGGCGCGCTGGGGGACTTCGGGCAAGTGACTTAACCATTCTGTGCCTCACCTACCACGTCTGTGAAATGTGGACCGTAACACAGCGACTCTGATATGTTAGGACAGTTTAACGGAGAATCCTTAACGCGTCCAAATAATTCCTAGAGTGCTCGATAAAAGCTGCTGAGTGCCAACCCCCTGCCAGACTGGTTTCGGCAGCAGAGATGCAGAATCCTGATGGCGCTTCCACTCTCCTGTTTACCAACAGATAAATAAATACTTAGCGTAACGTCAAGTAGCAACATGAAGAAAAATAAAATACTAAAGGGATAGAGGGTGGGGGCAGGAGGAGGATGCTGGCACTAAGGTGATATCCTGGAGGGGAGAAGAGGAGAAACGCTCACATGCAAGATGTCTTGAAAGTCAGAGTCCACAGATTTGCTGATGGATTGGATTTGGGGCTGGTGGGTCAGGAGTCCAGCCTGGTGATAACTGAGATGCTTGGTGTAAAAGAGGCAGTGAGATAAACTGTTCCAGTTGTGCGAGAGGTCGGGTGGAGCCGTGCCGCTGGCAGTCCCCAGCGCAGAGGTGATACTTGAAGCCAGGGGGCAGACCGAGAGCACCCAGGTGGTGAGAATGGCCGGCCTGCAACAGAAAACTGGTCCTAGGAGGAAAGCCAAGAGGGCTGGGGTGCGAGAAACAAGGGAAGAATAGGGAATGATCAGCTCCATCAGTTATCAAGCAAGTTGATCTTTAGGTTTGGCAAAATGGAGGTCATTGGTGACTGACATTGTGGGCCACCATCAGCATTACTGTTTTATTTTTACTTTTATAGTATCCATTTATATGCTCTCAGCTCATCTCTCTTTATTACTACATTTTAAATTCTCTCAAGATGAGAAAAAATGTTTTTCCCTCTTAAAAGTGCCTCGGATTCCTCAAAAAATTAAGAATAGAGCTACTATATGACCCAGCAATCCCTCTCTTGGATATATATACCCCCAAAATTAAAAAACATGTATTCGCAAAGATATATGCACCCCTATGTTCATTACAGCATTATTCATAAGCAACATGTAGCCTCCACATCAATCATGTAGAATAAGTATTAGTAGCATACTTATTAATACCTCATTTTATGGGTAAGGAATCAAGGGTTCAGGAAATTTTGGTAACTTGAAGTTACATGGCATGTACATGGCAAAATTTTAACGTTAGTCAGTTTGACAAAAAAGCCTATTTAATTTCCACGCTTTAGTCCCTGATCTCTCCTCTAGTGTCCTCTTCAGGTTAATGGCACATCCTCACAACCATTCCATCTAGAAAATTCTAATTCACCTTATATTCCCTGCCCATTGCAAAGCCCTCTCTTAATCAATTAGCTGCTGAAGGATGTGGGCTCATATCAGCAGCATCTCATTTTCTATTCACTTTATATCTCCACCACTCCTACCCTAGTTTGGGTCTTTTGCAATAACCTCTCGCAGGTCTGTATCTCTAATACCTGGCATTTCTAATTGATCTTTTATATTCTCCTAAGAGTTACCTGCAGAAAATGCAGTTCTGATAACATCACATACTTTCTGTAATGATTGTAGTCCTATTACTACAGAAAAAAATAAGTACAAAGTCCTCTGAGTATAATTTAAGGCTTCTAACTGATCTTCACAGCTGCATTTCACCAACAACTACAGGCA